CCGTAAACTCTCCATTTGGCAAAGGAGCAGAGACATCTGCTGAAATTGAGAAATTCTTATTTGCTGAGTTCAGAATAGAGAAGCCTGCAGCTAATCAATGACACCATTACCACCATCATCACCCATAGCTGCCAATGAAGCCCATATGAGTTCAGGGTCAGGGTTTCAAAGACCTCATGAAAACAGTGATAAACACTGAGGAAAAAAAATAAAAAAAGAGAGGCTTTAGGAATCATGGGTCAAAGATTAAGCAGAGATCCTTCTAGTCATAAATAAAGAAATCAGTAAATTCTCCCTGATGTGAGTCTGAGTAATGAGAAGCAGAAAAATCTCCATATTGCCCAAATTAAAAGTACATGAAGCTTATTAATTCCTTTTACTATCATCTATGTCAGTGAGCTGGATCAAAACAAAATTACTGTTTCTGAGTATGTTGTCTTTGGATCTTGTAGTCACACCCACTGAAAGGGACAGCAATGCAAAGCTGTATCAGAAATCTCTAACAGTTTGAAGAGGTGATAACTTCTAGCACATCCAGTCATTTGTGCACCAGCATAGATGATTATCCAAGGTGTAATGCAACAGTGGAACTGTTCTTATATGCATACACAGTATCAGCAAGAAGCAGGTAAGACGCACCAGGCAGGATTTAGAGTCTGTTGTCATTACCATCTTTTTCAGAAGTTGCAAGTAATGAGATGTTTTAAACATTTGAGATAAAATCCTAGCACAGAATAGTTCAGAATGCATTTTTCTTTGTATTTCAGAACTATTTATTTTTAAGAATCTTCTCTGATTGCCTCTGCTAAGACCTCTTTCCAGAAAACTAAGTCATTCCCTCATGTACTTTGAAACAAGACTACACAGTACTCTGCTGGTGCCCAAGAGTTAAAAATGAAAACAAACTGGGAAAAAGCTGAGCAGTGAATCTGCAGAACAAAAGTAGCATTTAAACTCCTTGCCCTTCCACAAGTCACTCTGTGAGTAACAAGGGCAATGGCACCCCATAACACTATTAAAACACTGGTTATTTATTTCAGGCTGTCATGACATGCTAGAGTAAACTGGGAGTGAGGCCGGAATCAGACCCAAATTCTTGATGCAATCTCTAAATTGATCCATCTGTAGTTTAGTCATTACTTACTTGCTTTGCCTTGTAAAAGTCCTCTTTGCCACTAAACATGGCTTATAACTTCTAAGGATACAAATATTTATTGCCTCGATAGGCCAAACACATTACACATATTCCTCGGGCTGCTCCTACAAGGAGAAGTAAACTGCTTTCTTTGTGCTTTTGAAATGAGACTGGAAATGTCCTTTTAACTATTAATTTTATGATTGCAGTCATTTCTGATAAAGGGCTGAAAGGATGCCAAGAGGGCTTAGACATCCTTTATCATTCCTTTACCATATGCTCATCAGCAGCCTCAGGGCAGGGAAGAGCAAGGCAGCAAACCCATAGGAGCCAGTCAACAGGGAGAACCCAGGCACTGCCTAAGCACTGTGTCTACTTTCCTCAGAGCTTTAGAGCTCCTATAGGACTGTCAGAAATTCCTGACTCAGCAGCAAGGGTCTCTATGTCCTGGAAACACCTTTAAGCTCCACAGTGGTCACTAGAAACTCAGATTTCTCAGGGCACATTTCTGCTGTGTATGTGGTGCTGAGGAGCTCAACCAGATTCTGGCTGGTTTTAGCATTACAGCAGGGCTAACCCGTGCTGAGTGCTGCACCATCTCAGGGTGACTATGTTGTTTCCAAATACCCATTTGTTTCTGACCAGGCTGGCCCATGTTGTGGGGACCTACCTACCAGCCAGCGCAGAGCTCCATGCTTCTCAGTTGACTGCACTGCTCTTTGCCCCTTGCATAAGCCCTGCCTCACATTTTGAGCACCTCATTTAAAAATAAATAAAGACTGACTAAATCGGTTTTGCTCTCTTGTAATGACACATGCATGATTACGTGCCTGGCAAATTTTCACTGTATACACACAGAGGGAGTGAAATGTGTAAGTGCTTTTTCCTACTGTGCGTATGATGAGGTATTACAGAACTAGGATGCTCAGTTGAAAGCAAGGCTCTGGTTCAAAGGAAATGCAGGTGTTTTTGATTGTTTCTGTAGACCAGAATGCCTGCTTAATAAGAACAAGCAAGTACATGCAGAATTCAGAGGATCAACAAACTGTTCTCATTAAAGGCTCTCTAGCATAATGTGCTTACAGACACATGCACACAAAATTAAAGAAATGTCACAACATAAAAATGTGGACTATCAGCTATTGTATTTCAGTTCACTCGGGGATAATTGATCAAGCAGTACATTCTTTAGTGATGTAATATAAGAAAAATACCTCCTAATTGGCAAGGGTAAGTAAATAATATGACTAGAAGAACAATACACAGTGTAGATGCAATTCAGAGTATATGTGCTCTGTTTACCAGGCCACCATGAAGGTCAATTACTTTGGTCAGCCATTTTTCCATAGTTTTAATATAGCTGTCTAAGCAGTAAAAAATTCTTATTTTTCCACAGCTGCCACCTGCCTTGAGTACAGTAGACACGTCTTAATTGGCATCTATTCTTACTGAAAATAATGTACTAGCTACAAGGTGGTCCTGATTATAGGAGACTAGAAGGAATATATTGTTTGGAAGTTGTTCTATTTAACATCTTTGCCAATGACCTGGACTGGGTGATGAAGCACACCCTCATCAAGCCTGCAGATGATGCTAAAGTTTGGGGGGAACAGCCAATAAGCTTGAGAGCATGGATGACATTCAGAAGGACAGAAACCGGCTGGAGGAACTAGCCAAAAGGAATTTTATGAAATTCAAGGACAAATACAGAGTCCCACACTTGGGAAGAAAGACCCCTTGCAGTCAGTCCTGACTGGGGACCAACTGGTTAGGAAGCAGCTGTGCTAAAACAGGTCTGTGAGTCTCAGCAGAGCACAAGGAGGATTCCCTGGCAGCAAAAACAGTCAACATCCTGGGCTTTATCAACAGACTCAGTTACTGAGGAAAGGTATTATCCTCCTCTACTCAGCCTTTCTTAGACACCATCTAGAACATTGGGTCCACTGTTGGTGCACCCAGAATAGACTTCAATTAACTGTCCATGAAGACACTCAAGATGCAGAACAGGATGCCAGAGAGGTTGTACTGTCTCCATACTTGAAGGTTTTCAGCTAGATGAAGCTCTGCTCTGACCTCATAGCTGACATTGACCTCTTTTGAGTAGGAGGTTGGACGAAAGACGTCCTGATGACCCTTCCAGACTGATTTGTTCTATGACTCTGCAATTCTGTGAATTACTCTCAGGCAGTCTTTATTATTATTATTATTATTATTATTATTATCATCATCATCATCATCATCATCAACTGATCTAAAAAGAATGATGCCAAACAAACTGAATACTTAACTGATCTCTGGATGCACTAGAACACCTGAAGAAAACAGTAAGAAGATTAAATATAACAAAAAGAGGTACCACTTCTTACCACCAATGCAGCATTTTCTGCCTCTGTGTCTACTCTACTTGGGATGCAATGCAAACAAGAAGTGTTAGCCTAACCTGTTTTTTAACACATCTAAGAAAAGAGAACACAGTGTCCTTGAGAAATATACCCATAGGCTCAAATATCCTCACCATTAAAACCAGTTCCTTAATCACTAACCTAAATACTTTTCCTGCAATTTTAGTCAATCTCTTTCTGTCCTATCCACTGTAGACACAAGGCCATATTGTTCCCTTTGTCTGCCTTTTGCTTATTTGAAGATCATTGCAAAGTTTTCCAAACACATCTCTTCCAAATTTTCCTCTTAATTCCTAGTTCTAGGCCTCTAATATCCTTGCCTTTCTTTTCACCTTCTCAGATTTGCCTGTCCTGAAGGCAAACCTGATTGTGTTGAGATTTTACCAGTGTTGAGTAGGTAAAAAAGATTTCGTATGTCTGGTAGTCTATACATCTGCTCATAGTTTCCAGTATGACACTTGATTATTCTAATGTAGTCTGTCTCTCTGAGATTGGCCAACTAACAAGACACTGCAGACGAAGTTGGAAGAAGCACCCAGGAGGAAAGTCTGAAATTATCTTTTTGCTGTAACTTGGACAGTCTTATATTTATAGTCAGGATGAATTTAGATAACATAAGGAAAGTCCCATTCCACCTTCTCTCCTTTCTTTTACTTTCCTCACTCATTCCTTTCCCTAGTTCTGCTCTTATCTGTGGGAGTCCCACCTGTCCCCTTTGCTGTCTTCCTTTAACTGTCCAGTAAGGCATTAGAACTAAGAAAATCAGCATATGTTATTTGCTTTGTTTACTACTTTAGTTTTTCTCTGTATTTACAAGTAGACATGGCTCCCTGTGCAACCTAAACCAGACTAAAAGACGGGCAGAAGTGTGAAGGTGAGAAAGACAGAAAGGGAATAGGATATTGTTTGTCTGTCTACCATAAAAAGTTTGTGTCCTCTCTCAACATTTCTGGGGCAAAGAGCTTCCAGTGAGTGCTCAGTAAGTTTCACAACATTCCTATAGAGTATCTCTTCATCTTTAGCAGAGGAGTAAAGCAAAATCCAGAAAGAAACTTGCTCAAGGAAATTAAGCAAGTCAGGAGGAAAGTTGGAAATAGGACTGTGTTTAAAGCTTCTTGTTCAAGCTACTTATTTTCTGCTTTATCTCCACAGCACACTTCTCATACCAGTGCTGCTTTGCAAATTTACATCTCAGGCATCGAATGTTTTAAATACTACTACTTCAAATAATGTCCTTACATATAAAATATTCCAATAATATGGATTTTGTCCAAGGGCATATACAATAAGAGAGGTAAATATTTAAAACCTAAGCAATGTAATATCTCTTAGATTTCTGGCCCCTATAAAAGAATTCCCAAATGATGGGCAACATGTCAACTTTCAAAACAGAGCAAGCTATAACATTATTGAAAAATCAAAGAAACAAGCAAAATATAGGAAAAATTTGAAAATATTCAAACCTGATCCTTTGAAGAAGACTTCCCATCCTTTTAGCACTAGTGTGAAGCAAGATTTGTCTGGAGCTTACAAGATTCATGCATTAGCCTCTATAACCAGGATCTGCAAAGACACATAAGAGATCTGCTTACAAACTGGTCTTAAAGCCTCAGCCTAGTCAAAAGTCACTTATGTCTGTCAACTGTTTGTATATCCCTAAATAAAGTGATTAGAAAATCTATTACATGGTTTTGATTTGCCTTTTCCCTCTGTTTCAAAAACAAAGTGGGACACAAGTTACCCTCTGTTTCCTACCCAGATCCAGCTGAGGCTCCTTGAATGATAGCAGCGGAAGGACCTAGCCTAGGCCAGTGGGCATTAGCAAAGGTCTTGGGACTCCTCCCATCTGTGCCACGTATTTGTCAGGTGTTATTTGTAAGCAAGATATCTGGGGAGAGGGTTTTGTTGCTGAACCACTACCTTCATGCAGGAGAAGAGCCCTCCAGGGCCAAACCCACCAGCTTTAGGTGGGGTTCAACCACCAGAGCTGGGCCCAAAGTCTTGGCCTTGCCCTAGCTGCAAATTCGAACACATAGTTGCTGATGTACTAATCCCACATTAATAGAAGTAAATCTATGCTAAAAAATAAAATTAAAATAAAATAAAATAAAATAAAATAAAATAAAATAAAATAAAATAAAATAAAATAAAAAATCCTCTCTTAAAATTCTGCTTCTAGTAACCAAGCTAAATATGACATAAATATCCTGGACAAATGTGTAGCTCTGGAAATACTGAAATCCTGGCCCCATGACATGGCTGCTGGGATTCCTGCCATTCGCTAAAAAGTTAAGCTGGGAAACACTTTGTCCAATTACTAAAAAACAATGAAGATATAAAGGAATTATAACCTAAAAACAGAGGTGTTGAAAGAAAGAAAACAGACCCACGTAATAAACAATATTGTTTTAATTAAGGCAGTAGAGAAAAACGTCCACAAGTTTGGATGCCCTTAGTGTGCGTGTGAGCACGCATGCTTCTCTTGGGAGCAGTTTCTGCCTGGGTCCAAAAACAGGTGTCAGAGACACTAGGGACATAAACTTCAGCTCTGCTGCTCCAACACTGCTGCAGAGAGCAGTCCTGGCACCACTCCTGACATGTATTCATGGCCTAGACCCCATCTGCAAAAACCACATCTGGTTGTGTGTGGAGGGTGGACACTGAGATGGGCTTTCGTGCTCTGAACTTCTGAACTCTGTAGGGCATGGGCTTGGATACCCACACTTCGGTTGTTTGTGAAGAGACATTTATTGAGCTCCATCCTGAAAGAAACCACAAGACATTCTGAAGGGCAAAACTCACCAGCTAAAAATATTCCTCCAGAATTGGATATGATGAGAAAAGCTTCAAGATTTAGACAGATGCATGTTTCCAAGAGCAGTATTTCATTCTTCAGCTCTCAGAAAGTAGTATTTTAGTGCTCTGGTAATTGGTACAAAGACGCATTCAGCCCCCATTGCGTAATATCCAAATGATCAAAGGAGAGCTTCTGTTTTTCCTTTTCAGGTGATAACTAACAGCAGTAACATGTTTGGTAGCTTACATTTCTCTAACAGGAATCTCCAGCATGCTTGTGAGTGATGTTTGCTGGAAAGGTGAATAAACAGACACATTGGCAAAATGATGCAGAGAGAGCAAACAAGAGGGGAAAAGAAAAAAAAAAAAAAAAAAAAAAAAAAAAAAAAAAAACACTTTGAAATTACATGACTACAAAGAAACATGATTTTTTTCCTTTGCCCTGTGGTTTCTGACCATCTCAGCAATACCTGCAGTATGTTTAGAAGATTTCTTTCACACACATGGAGTCCAGAAACTTACTTTAAAACAAACTGTAGGAATTTTAAGATTATCATATGATCACTCTAATATTGCAACAGAGGATCCATGGCCACTCACTCTTTTCACCCTTACCTTTACTGCAACAAAATCCACATACTGTTTCACTGATTTTTTGCATTTTCCCACATTCAGCTACTTTTTCAACATTCTCACCTCCTAGTCTGAACTTCCTTCACGGAAGTTTTCTGCTTTATTTTTTCCCTCCAGTCCCCCAGATGTCACTTTTTATGACTTGTGTATCATGGCAGGAAAACATTCCTGTTACCCTTATCCATGCACCTCTTTGAAAGGCCACTCTTTACCTAGAAGAGACTGCAATATGCATCTGATTTTACATGTAGTAGAACTGGGCAGCTTGGAGAAAATTTGCCTGGCAGGCATGCATGCCTTCTTTTAACAAAACAAACTGCCCATGATCACCATGAGCACATGCCCAAAGCAAGTGCTGTTAAAAAGTAAGGAGAATTTTAATAAGAGGAGGGAAATGAAGGCAGCCAGGAAAAACACATCTTCTTAATTTTTCTGCAAATTATTCTCCAAACCTCCCTTCTCCCAAACCACCTAGATCAAACAATCAGTATGCAGCTTTCACTATGCTGGGTCAATAGGAGCAAACATCCAGCTGTGCCTGGAACACAGGTGTTTGGGTTATGTTTTGCCAACTACAGGTGGACAGATTGATGTGGTTGTTTTTTTCTTGGGAAGGTGGACATGCAGGAAAGAAGGTGAGGGAACAGACCTGGGCTGGGCATGTTGTGCATAGCAAAGCTTACCATCCACTGGAACTGCAAACTTCCCTTACAGAAACAGTGCTGTATCAAGAGCCCCTTTCTCATTTCCCTGCCCTACCCTGATTACTGGGCAATCTGACACTTTTCCACTACTTGCAGTTTACCTCTGAAGTGCAGTTCCCTTTGGGTGGGATTAGGTGGACACATAAACATGTGCTTGCTAACAAAAATCCTTTGAAAGACATCCTCAGTTCTGCAGCCCTTCTCAGACACTTAGGCATTCAGGAAGAGCAGATCAGGTTGCCATGGGCAGGGGTTCCACACAGCACACGGCAGAGGAAGCAGCTATTGTTCTAGATTGCTTATTGCTGCCTGTATTTTTCCTGTGGTTTTAGTTTAAGAAACAACAGTTAATTCCTCCTGAGTTCCCTCCTGACTTATCATTTCTCAGCAATATGTTAAAAATCTGAGAATTTCCAGCTGTTGGTATCAGTGAGAGGGCTAAATCTCTTCACTGACTTTAAACCTGAAATGTTTGTATGTTCGATGAAAATTTATGAAATTCTCCTGGTGCAGCTGTTATTCTGAGTTAATTGAACAACTCTGTTCTTCTCTGTTAACATTTCCTCTGAACATTTCTGCAGTAATGAGTGTCTGCCCCAAGGATTCCCTTTTGACTTGTTCAGAAATTAAGTTTCGTTGATGAATTAGCAACTAACAATTAACAATTAGCAAAAGGGCTTAATTCAGACTTCTCTGAGGTATGCACCGCACAGTAACATGAAGAGGAGCAATGTGTCTTTGGCATTAGACACTGGGAATGCATGAACATCTCTCCAAAAGTGGCTCAATTTTCAAAAGCAACCTCTGTAGCAACTTCTAGCTCTTCAGATGGTCAAAGAGGGTAATAAAATGGTACACGTTGACATCAATCACCATTATCAGTGCCCAGTTCAATATGTTCATATTCCCTGGAATATAGAATAAATTTTGCAGACACTTTCTGTCCTTATCAGGTGTGGAACAGTGTTCTCCAAAGTAATGCCACTATCTCCCAGTATCCCAGATAGTTGGAGCAACTTCCACAGTCCTCTGTCTTCTCTCTTCCCTTCCAGCTCACCGTCTTCCACTTTCAATTGGTGCACTCTCTCCTCTGCTTCCACAGAAGGCAGGGAGGATGTTGGCAGCCCTGCTTACTTGCAGCTCTCCAGCAGAAGGGGCAACCTCATGCAAGCTAACTCTGCTTAGCTCTTTAATGTACAAAAGCCAAAGTAATAAAGCCATGGCATGGGCACAGCTCTCAAGACCAAATCTGCTGTTTGCATGCTGTGCTGCCAGTACTTTTATGTCAATTAATGCTTTTCTGCAGTCAGGTGTTTTTCATTAGCAAGGAAAGAGAGATTCCAGGTGAGGATTTTATAAATGTGTTGACAAATGCCAACATTTTTTATTCGAGTTATGATTGAAATGATTGTAACCTCCTAGGGAAAATGCTAGGAATGCTCTTGATGTGGTTAGCAGGGGGAAAGAATGACTGAGGTTGCCAGAATGAACTCTTTGATTCTGCAGAAAACTGGACACCAGGCCAGAAGGTAGTTTGTTCACATACACATTGTGGATACGCAGCTTAGCACAGTGTGCTGTGTATACAGTTTTATAACTGAACAGAGGTGACATTTTGATCCATGTTACATTTTAAGCTAAATGCTTACATTCAGCCACTTTCCACACCCTGAAGTCCAAACCCTAACCTTCTGATATAGATACTATTACATATTATCCGCAGGTTCTTCTCATCAATAACAGGGCACCAAGAAATAGGACTGACACTTGTCAAATGCTTCTACCTTTCCTTTAAGATACATGCATACTTAACCTGTATGTCTGTGTTGCATGAGGAGGCAAAGAATTGTACCTCTCATTTAGAGCAGATATTCATGTTTTTTGATAGCCCCAAGTTCTTGTTCTATTTACAGATCCAGTCAAGACTTCTGTTTTGTGTTGCACTATATGCAGCCCTTGCATACACTACTGAGAGTGGGTGTGTAGTTTTAGCTAATAATTGAACCTATTCCTTGAATCTGGCTCACAAGGGAAGCTCTAACTGTGTGAAATGATTTTCTGCCCAAACAGAGGCATAGAAATGGTAACACTAATCTCATCCTGTCTCTCTCATATAGCGAAGCAGTGCCATTGCTGTCTCAGATAGTGTAATGCAGGATTCCTTCTCTAACCCGAAAAAGCTCCCTTATTTTCTCTTCTTTTATATTTTTATGCATTTATAAAATGTTCTATTATGACCCTTCAAGTTCAGAGCATCATTATTTAGCAGACTTACCATTCTTCACACCGGGATTCTGTCATGAGTAATGCTTATGTTCTACAAGTGTAGGATTTCCAGACAAAGGCATTTAACAAAGAGCAAGAGCTGCTGCTGCTGCTGAATCCAGGGTGCACAGGTGGAGGGCTTGCACAGCAGGAACCCAGCAGCAGGGCTCATTGCTGAAACCCCACTTTCACTTTACTTTTGGTCTGCTCTGGCACCTTTCACACTAAATGTCATTAGAAACCCTTGCATAAGACTCCAACGCTATGGCAAAATACATTTGTATAGCAATTGAAAGAGGTCATTCTGTTTCACAAGTACTGCAATCCAGCAAT